ATTATTTCATTCTTTAAATATTAAAAATAGTTTTTATATTTAAAGAATAAAATAGTATTTTTTAATTATAAATTAGAGATAAATTTCATTTATAAATTTAAGCAGTCAAAAAGTATTTTTAATCTACAATAAATTGTACTATTTATAATTTATAAGAAGTAGTTTGATTTATAATAAGTTGTATGGATATATAGATTAAAAAAAATTTAAAAAAATTTAAAAAGTGTGTTGCCATTGTCCCTAAATTTTATTTATAAATTTGAACAATAAAAAAAGTATTTTTAATCTTTAAAAAATTATACTTCAAGTTCTGATTATAAATTGGAGATAAAAATTATTTTTTTAGCCAATTAAATAGATTACAAGTACTTTTTATAAGTTATAAATGATTTATTTTCCAAAAGTATAAAATAATTAATTGTTGTAAAAAAAAATTGCTGTTAAATTTTAATTCCAGACTTGTTATTTCCAAATGTATTGTTGTTATCACCTAAAACAAAGTGTGTTGTTATAAAAAAACGTGTTGTTAAATTTTAATTCCAGACTTGTTATCTTATAATCAGAACTTGTTATTTTTAAATGTATTGTTGTTATCACTTAAAACAAAATGTGTTGTTATAAAAAAAAACGTGTTGTTAAATTTTAATTCTTAACTTGTTATTTTATAATCAGAACTTGTTATTTTTAAATATATTGTTGTTATTACCTACAACAAAATTTATTGTTATAAAAAAAACATATTGTTAAATTTTTATTCCAGACGTGTTATTTCCAAATGTATTGTTGTTATCACCTGGAACAAGAGTAAATAAGTTAACTTATTTTTTTTTTTGCATCATAATGTTAACAAAATTTGTTGGCTCAATGGTCATTTCTTATTTTGGGAAGCATTAGGTTGGGGGATCAAATCCCCCCAACCTCACTTCCTCCACTATTTAAAAAAAACAATTGCAAAAAAAAAAAACAAAGGAATGCCGCCAGAAGCGGCCGGAGGCTGGATTCCAGTGAGGCAGTGGCTTTCTTTTAAAAGAAAAAAATTAAAGAGGGGTATTTTGGTAATTTGGCCATGATTTTATAATGGCAATTTGAGACCCGGTCCTTATGAGTAATTTCACTTATTCAGGTGACCTATCTGTTATTTTACATATTGGAGGGTCTTTATTTGTGATTCTCCCAATATATTAATACTATTTTATAAATTATAATATATATAATCCGGGCAGGGCCAAATGGGTAGGGCAGCATGTCCTGCCCTATGCCCATCCCTACCCATGAAATGCCCAGCCCAAATATGCTCATTCTTTTTCGGGCTTTTTTTTTCGGGTTGGGCTGGGCAATTTCTCTTCGGGCTCGGACGGGTTTAACGGGCATTTGGGTTTCATACACATCTCTAACACTCACTTCTCACTTATGCTTAACAGACATTTGGGCTTCATGCACACCTTTATAACTATCACTTTGGGTAGTTACAGTAATCATATAAAAAGTTTTTATGTTCTATCTTTTGAACATCAATATAAATGGGCTTTTACAAAAGAAGCGTCATGAACCTCTCTCACACAGAATAATTCAGGTTTAATTATTTTTGTTTATTTCTGTCCCCATTTTTGGCCATAATATATAACCCCGCACCAAACTGATAATACTGTTACATTCCTTTACAACAACAAACCTCTATAGAAAAGGTTTGCAGCTCGATTTACTGAACTGGGAGATGCCAAGACATTCTTGAATGGAATCTCACAGTCACGGGACTCCGCTCCCCAAACCCAGAGCATCGTGAAGAAGAATCTCATGTCCCGTTTTGGGATTGGGATGATCCAACACATGCGGCCACGGAACATGATACGGTGCTCTAGAAGTTAAATTCAAACACAATTTTGCATCCGAGTGTAGCAAGGAAGCAGTAATGCGGGACCAAAACTATACTATCTCTTGTCTTAATTATAAGATATTGTTTGTAGTTTTAGTATATATACTCCTCTGGTCCTTAATATAGGACCCAATTCTTGAGTTGGTTTTGATCCCCAAATATAAGATCTATTTTTCATATTTATCAATTTTCTCTAAATTACCCCTGTAAATACTCCTTCAACCATAATCAAGTAGAAGAGAGAGATGGGGTATTAAGAAAAATGATTATGATGTTTTAGAAAAAACATGTCACTTTTCTTATAATTAACTAACTTATATAACTTTCTTAATCTAATTAAATTAGTTAAATGGGTCTTATATTAAGGATCGGAAGAGTACATAGAAAGAGAGTTAATGTTAGTACCATTTAGGGGACCATATTGGTGTGTGCTGCTACTTCAGTAAAAATTGGCATGGCAGTTTACCATACAGGATGCGTCATTGGAGACGTCCTTAATTCGTCGTATGATTGTTTTGGAATTTCTAAGGGAGATGATTGGCCTCCGAATTTTGGTCATCATAGTCCGCACATGACCCATAACAGCTCATTTATTGCCACCCATATTGATCATGTTATCTATAACCTCCATTACCCGATTTTCATGTCTTCTTGTTTCTTTTTTTTTTTTTTGGCCAACGATTTTCATTTCTTCTGTCTCCCGGAATTGCCAGAATTCCCCTGCTTCCCAAAAAGGAATAATTGAGACCATTTTGAATTTCTGTTGCAAGTTTCGGCGGATCTCTTTACGTTCCCTAACAGACGACACCACACTTCACAATCGTTGTGCAAACCCCTCCCCCCCCCCCCCCCAAAAAAAAGAAAAGAAAACACTTCACAATAGTTTAAAAAGAAATCCACTGATTATAACTCACAACTCCCTTATTTATTGTATCGTGGAGAGAGATTATATAAAAGGGAAAGTAAAAATAATTAATTAGATACTTTGGTTTCCATAGGAAGGTAGTCTTGGAAAGTAGTAACAACTTTTGATCATTTTTAAGGATATACTTCTAACAACTTTTCTCAATTTCTGTGAAATAATTAGAAATGTCATATTGTTAACAACGGGAGCAATTAACCATGGAACAAGGGGGCATCAATTGCTGGTCTGAATTAATCATTCCGGTGAGCTGGCCATCTCGAGACAAAACACTTTATTGGGTTTTGTTGATAGAAGCCCAGCAAGTGAGGTAAATATTTGTGAGCATTTGGGTGAGTTAATTTTTGCGGGCGCAGTAAGGCGAGGGAAGAAGGAGAGGCCCGCGAAGGGTGAAACAGGCCTCCAAATATCTCGGCAGCTTTCATTGTCATTTGTCCACAATAATGGCGTCTGACAAATCTCAACCCCACGCCGTTTCACAAAGTTGGCATCCCAAAATGACGATTTTCTGGGCCTACACGCGTCTCCTCTTCCTCAGAAAAAAAAAAGTCCAACCAGAAGCTCATAATCTAGAGGCCCCCCCCCAAAAAAGAAAAGAAATCATAATCCAGAGAGAAACAAAGTAATAAGGAGGGCAATAATGTCACTACACTCACAGGCAATTTCATTATACTACCTCCAGTTCTAATTGTAAAACCTCTTTTGTATAATATAAAACACGTATATAGACATGCTTCCTATGGGCGATACAGGAGATTGCTTAGAAGTTGTGAGCAGTGTGGCGGATGCGGCCTAACCACCTGAATTATTGTCCTCTCCATAGCACCGCCCCGTAATCTCCGATTAAGACAGCACACAGCTCCGTTACTTGATACGCAATTTCATGTCACATTGTAGTTCGGTTTCAATATTATAAACATTTGATATAGATGTCGCCATCTTCTTAATTGCCCTTTTCGGCTGTGGGTCCATTATAGAATGGACGAATCTTGATTTGCCTTTCTTGGAGGTGGAATGGGGCCTGAAAAGTTGGCTGGTTGGGCTTTGGTTGTGTTATTGGTAATAGATGTGGGCCGTGGGCAACAATCATCTTTTGAAATGGATAGATAGATTTGAGGGTCGGATGGGCAGTTGGGCACCTTCTCCTTGGGTTATCCTGGGGGAAAAAAAATAAAGAAAAAAGGAGAAGGAGTTTGGGATGTGTAAGAAAGGGAAGGATGGGAATTAAATGCAGAAAAAGCACAGGTTTGTGAACACATTTAAGTTGAGTTTGGGGAAGGTAAGGTATTTAATACACAGAGATGGGGTTTGGCAAGCAAATTTGGGAATTGAATGGGTTTGCATTTAATGAGAGCCCAACCCCATTAATATCCATCACCCTCTCCATATCTAACCTGTTTTCCCGGACTCTCATTCTTCACATGTACCGCCCATTCTTTCTTTTGCAAACATCTCATTCCTTTTAACTTCTCCCATCTTCTTCAATCTACCTCTCACCTTCTTTTTCTATTTTCCAAATAAAAAGAACTTACGTTATACTATCTCCAATACTTTGTATAAAAACTAATTTGAAATTTAATTTGTTCCTAAATATAAGACTCCAATATATTTTGTTTCATATATGTTCATTTTTTTCTCAGAATAGTCCTCGTAGTAGTAGCATACATGATAAAGATTTCATCAAATGATAGTTCTAGCTAATACATATGATTAGTAAGGATATTTTAGAAAAAAATACTTGTTTATTTGAATAACTAACTTAACTAATCTTTTTAATTTACTTAAGTTAGTTAACTGACTTTTATATAAAGGACTGGAGACAGCAGTAAAGCACAAAAAAATTAAAATTATAAGGTTAGAATTGTCTGAAAATCAAATTAAAAATTTAGGATGAGACTCATTTTAAACTGTTATTCCTCTCCCTTTTCAATATTCAGTTGCCTGCTTATCCCCAACTGCTTAACTAACCTATTTCAATGTGCCTTCAATGCAACGGCCAAACAGATGTCTTCAATGGCCGGTCAGGTAAAGTTCGATGGAATGATATGCTCATGGCCGTACGATCGAAGTAGAAGCCATCTTTCTTCAGTTATGATCCCACACCACTCACTCACTCTATTTATACCTCTCACAAAATGTTAACTCAACACCTTCCCTGTCCATGAGGATGCCCGATAACTTCTGACTTCCACACACACACACACACACCATACACCTCCGATCAGATTGATGCTCTCCCTCCATTTTGCCTTCTCTCTGATTCCGTCAAATTTCAGCTCCCCTTCCTGAAGGTGATCATGGCTAGGTTTCTCGCAGCGCTCATATTGGTCCTCGTGCTCATTTCCATGCTTCAAACAATGGTTTAGTCTCTCTCTATCTCTAGCTACTCTCGTACATTAAACTAATATACACATAAAAAGCGCCACCTTTTACTCTTTTGTTCAGATCTGGATGTTAATTACTGCTAGAGATTCAATGGTGGGATGGTCCCTCATATATTACTACTTATGCAGGTCATGGCTTCTCATGGGCACGGAGGCCACCACTACGAAGACAAGGTAATTAACGTACCCTCACTAGTTATCCACTCCACTTCCATTCTTCGTTTTCTTGATGATGATGAGGGTAAGTTTTGACCTAGTGTTCTGCTTGCAGAAAAAATTTGGACCGGGCAGTCTCAAGAGCTCCGGTAAGTTAGTTAAGTTTTTTGCTTCACTAATGTCCTGTGTTTTTTTTTGCCTATATGTATATATATGATTAAGAGTGTGAGTATAACAATGAAACGGGAGAGCAGAATGCCCATCAGAATGCTCAGGAGGTGCAAGAAGACACAGTACCACAAAGCGTGCATGTTTTTCTGTCAGAAGTGCTGCAGGAAATGCCTGTGTGTGCCTCCTGGCTATTATGGCAACAAAGCTGTGTGCCCTTGCTACAATAACTGGAAGACCAAGGAGGGAGGACCCAAATGCCCTTGAACTTTATCCTCTCTCGTATAAATTATTTGTACCTCTTCGGTCATTAATTAATTACTGCTGATCCAGTGTGTCCTAACGACACTGGGTAGTATGTGTAATGTTGGTGCACTTCTAATGGCTGCCACCCACGTTGTCATTTACAAGTTATATTAGTAGCAGTTGATGACTTGAGTTTCTTCCATAGGATCATATTGCGTGAGTTTTGTACTTGCGATAACGCATTAACTAAGTGGCAATTGGACTGTGGAAAGGGGAAAAAATGAAGTATGGATACTTTTACATGGCGCCCAGACATGGACCTTGCGGCTGCAGGCCTAGCTTCCCAACAAGTTACCTCAGGGCTTTCAATGCGGCCCGCTTGTTTATTACTACCTTCTCTTAGTTCAATCGCTCGTGACAAACATTTTTTTTCCCTGACGATATAGACTTTTTATGGGACAAAAATTCATTTAAAATTTATAAAAATGAATTATTTTACATTTTAGTTCAATTGATGGACGCAAACTTAAAATTGTGATTTGTGAGTGTCAAAAAATTGTGATTTGTGAGTGTCAACGTACTACAAGTCACCTAAATTAAGCTTAAATATATAGTTAGGGTAAAATGACTTATAGGTAGAATTTTAGGGTTTAAACACTTATGATTTAACGAGGAATTGGGATTGTGACCAATGAGCTAATTTAAACAAAATTACATAAGAAACTTTTTAAAATTTTTTTTTCCTAAAAAATTTACCTAGTTAAAAAAAAATTGGCGGAATAAAACATTTTGACGACATATCAATAAGGAAGAATGAGACAACTTTTCTGTACCAAAAAGGTAACACCATCTCTCCTTTCAAAGAACACATATATGGAAAAGACTTGTTCCGCAGAAGCATTGGCAATCCTTTTTCTCCAAATCCTTGAGGAATTGGATACTGCACAGCTTGAAACCAGGAAGAAGAAAGCAAGAGGAACGCTGGGGACCGGAAATCTTCGCAGTAGGATGTTGGTATGCTTGGAAGTGGCGGAACCTGAGTACACATGAAGAGAATTATGAAACGCCACATAATGCGCCCTCCTTAATCACTCAGTTCCTGGAATACTACAGCCAGCGATGGGATGGAAATACATGCACAGATAGGGGACCCGAGAGATTCAAGTAGTCTGGTTGCCTCCTCCGATGAACTGGTGCAAACTGAATGTGGATGGGTAGTGGATGGCGAGAAATGATGCTGGGTGTGGAGGTATCATAGGAGAAGATTGTGGAGAATGGCTAAGTGGCTTCTCTATGAGGCTCTGTTGGGTCGAAGCTCTAGAGACAGAAGCAATAGGACTGTATGAGGGACTGAAACTGTGCTGGGACCTGGGATTCAAGCTGATCGAAGTGGAAAGTGACTCTCTTGAGTTAATTACGGCCATGGAAAAGAAGGAGATGCTAGAGGACTGCCAAAATCTGTGTCTAAGAATTCGAGAACTGCTTGCAAGGGACTGGTCGATTAGATTGAAGCACGTCTACAAAGAAGGAAATTATTGTGCAGATAAACTAGCCTCAATGGGAAGGAAACAAACCACACAGGTACGTACGGGTTGGAGCCAACCTCCGGAAGAGATCCTGAGACTGATGAAGAATGACCGTGAGGGAGTAATGACTCCCCATACAATTAGTGTTTAGTTCTGAGCTAAGCTCCTTTTGGTACCCAAAAAAAAAAAGGTAAAACCAACTACTATACTACTACTAAATTAATAAGTGGCCAAAAAGATAGAAACTAAATTAATGAATTTAAATGACTGTTCATTTCGAAAATAATGAAGGTATCAAACAATTCAATAATTTATGAGCTTCATTAATGTCAGATGCAGATAATAAATCATATATATAGTATTAAAAAGTAATTTTCGTGTTTGTGGGTATATATATCATGAAACAGTAATACAAGGGATATGAATTGGATGTTTAAATAAGTTATATGTCTAGGAGATATCGTGAGACGGCGGTCCATTTTGGGACATGGGAACATTGGATGTGAGGTTAGTAAGTTTAAGAAGCTTTTTCTTCCGAAAGGTTGGTCTTTTGAAATTAATCTCTCTTTTTAGATTCACGCTCATCACAAAAAGGTCTGGCGTCAAAGGAATAGGTTGCTAATTGCCAATTCCTAAGACAGACACTCGTATGTAAATTAACCAGTTAGTCTGGACATGGAATTTTTTTTCTTACCTGGACAACTCGTTTGGGCTGTTGGATTTAAGTTGTTTGCGACTATGGCATGGGCTTAGGACAGGGAAAGAGCAGTGCAGAGATTAGACAGATACATGCAATGTCTCATAAGCAGCATCAATAGGTTTTACTACATACGGGTAGACAAATTAAACAGCACGAAGACCTGCAGGTTCTTATTCATATATATTATAAAACGCACAATAAAACAAAGGAAATAAAATTGGAAGCTGGTTCTCTCAGATTCTAGATGCTCGAACTTGTCCCGCCGCCGCAGCTCTCCGATTCCTTTCCGCGAAGTGCTCTTGGATCATAGCTCTATGTCAGTTCACAAAATTCATAAGAAAAGCTTTATGATATTGCTATATATATTGAAAAGCGTAATCTAATAATGGAGTACTGAACTAAAAGGTCATGGCTGCAACTAATTATCGATTAACCAACTTACCGGCATTCGTAAAGCATGACAGGAGAGAGAAGGGTGCGAGCAGCATCATAATAACCTGTCACCAGATTTGAACTAGTTAGTTAATTTCTTAGAGATCATATGATCAAAAACCATTATTCTAGTGTCAGCTATAAGCAGACACACACAGTATAATCCTCTTACCACGAACATGACATTGAAGGCTTTCTTTGGCTCCTTTTGGTTGTCTTGGTGAAGGAGAAGACATCATTCACTATCAGCGCCAGCAGAAACTGCACCAGCCATACGCAGAGGCAAAACTTTATAACCAATATTGAAAACCTACCCGAGCGACCCAGGAACTAATAAATTTCGGTAAACTAGTTTGTTTTCGCAACTGAGAACATTGCCGCGGGCCGATTGTTGACTTTGAAATGAAAGAGTTTGAAGCTAAGTATGAGGTATTACGAGGACGAGCAAGGTGGCGTAGAGTAAGCCACGACAGGGAACCATCAGGTTGGCCCACCGAGCAAGAGAAGCTGCCCTCTGCTGATCTGGTTGCTGCAGAGGGGATTGCACTTGCGTAATGGTGGTAGGAGTACTCATCGAACTCTCACTCTCCATCACCACTCTGCCAATATCATAAAAGATACAGACAAGTTTACACACACACACACACACACACACAGATTGAGAGAAAACATATATATAGAGGGCTAGGACTTGCCTCGTGTTGGTTGATGATTCTTCTGTCACTGCATAATCAGGCCCGTAGGGCTGCGCGCGCGCACATTAAATAAACATATTCCAAATCATGTAAAGACTAATTTAAGTTACGCAGCAAATAATATTAATCGAGCCTATAAAATATGATGATTGGAATGCGAAATCTCAAGCGAAAGCGTAGTATATGTGAAGTGTGTACTGTGAAGGGGACTCTAATTCAGCTGTGTATATGTCCACAATCGCGCGAACACAGAAAAGTACGAATTCATGAATAAGTGGCAGCAAAGGGGCTCTGCGTACGTACCAGCTCGCAAATCTCGCACACGATGCTGCCCTTGGTGTTGCACCAAGCAGTGGTGCAACTCCTGTGGGCGTACTTTATGTGGCATGCCGTGAAGAGAGGTAGAGAAGGAATTCCAGTCAGTTTTCCGGTCAAGCATATTTGACAACATTAATTGCAAAATGTAATTATATGAGCTTTCAATTTGATATCCTAGTTAATTAATTCGCTAATCTTAGATTAGATACTACTGGTCATTTAATTGCATGATCTGAATCTGAGGAGGAGGAGGAGAAGTAGTAATTATATTTAATATAAGCTATATGGCGACCAATAACATATTGAAGTAAACTATAGACCACACACACACACACATATGCGTATAAATAGATTATCGATATAGGATGAAGTTTTTATGTATACCCGCAGAGTGCCACTGCAACCGCAGGGTGCTTCCAGGCGTCTCAGAAGGTCTTCCCCATGACAAAATCGGCACTGTCTCGTCTCTCCGGATGACATTGCTGCTGCCTCCAGATACGTAGCATTTGCTGCGTCTTCCATGGATACACTGATTTCGTCCACTGAAATGACGACGTTGTTTGAGGAAGTCGAAGACCTCAATGGGGTCGTTTGTGTCGAGACTTGTTCAGGACAGACAGCGATGATATGTTCTTCATTCATTTTGTCCGAGGAGTCACTCTGCCTCAAGCAAGAAAAGCATGCATGGCTGTTACAAGCTAAAGTAAAGGAATCTTTGTCTTGCATATACAGAAAGGGCAAAATGGTAACAAGAAAGTTAATTAAGACCATCGATCTTCGTGTATGTGTTTTGCTTGTTATTGGCCAAAAGTAAACTGGTAACATGCGCGGGTCGAGTTAGTCACATCCCCGGCTGCTAACAGACAAAATTATCAGTGGAAGAGAGGTATTATTAGTCTCCTTCACTATTTTCTTTGCAACCAAACACATTAAGAAATTTCGGAAGAAACGACAGAATTTTTAATGCAGCAAAACGGTTTGTTGTGCCACCATGAATGAACCATGAAATGGAGCGAGCAGAAAGAAGATCGAGCCAGGTCAAAGCCAGTGATGTTCAATTCAAA